GGACACGGCATCAACAGTATGTGAGGGGCGTAACATTTCCGTCTCAGGCTTGAGGTATTCGGCCAATCACAACGCACTGGATAGCTGGCCAATCACAGCACACCTCGCTTTTTCAGAACGATGAGCTTTGTAAAAATCAACGCGTTTCAGAAAGGCGGGGCATAGAGGAGAAACAATAATGTACAGTATGTGAAAAATAATGTGTTTTTTTAACTTTAAACCACATAAACACATTTCATTACACCAAATACACAAAATAATGTTCTTTTTAGCAGCATCATATGACCCCTTTAAAAAAATCAAATAATGTATATGTTTATTGTTATCAATAACATTGATATTAAAATGTGTCATTTTGAGTGGAGGGGTGGTGGGTAGTAGTTTATTTGAATATTTATTTGTCCCTCCATTTTCATCAGATTTCTGTCAACTGCAACTGGATCCAAACACTGCACAAAAAAAACTCATCCTGTCAGAAGGGAACAGAAAAGCATCATATTCAGATAAAGTCCAGCAATATCCTGATCACCCAGAACGATTTGATAAATATATGAATGTCCTGTGTAGAGAGGGATTGTACAGTCGCTGTTACTGGGAGGTTGAGTGCAGTGGGGACGACTGGTCTGTAGCAGTTTCCTACAGAGGAATTAGTCGTAAAGGAAAAACTGATGATTGCAGACTGGGGTTTAATAATAAGTCATGGAGAGTGACCCACTGTCAACAGAATTTCTATTTCAGACATGATAAAGAGCACGTCCTTATTCGTGATGTCCCCTCCTCTAGAATAGGAGTGTATCTGGATCACAGAGCAGGAACTCTGTGCTTCTACAGCGTCTCTGACACAATGACTCTACTACACAGAGTCCAGACCACATTCACTGAACCCCTCTACCCTGCATTTGGGGTTGCATCAGGTTCTGTCAGGATCATAGAGCAGAGGGGAATTCTCAAAGACCAGAAATAAAAGACAAACAAAATTTCTTAAACTTGCTCTAATTTTTTGTATACTCTTCTCTATCCTGTACGATAAAACCAAGACTATTAAAGGTTCATCATTAAGACAAAAGGTGTCAACTTTAGCTCGTCATGTCCTCTTGAGTTTCACAGAAAGGTCTTCATTATTGTGTGAACTAATTCTGAAATTAAAGCCTACTGGCAATAATACTAATAATAATTCAAATTCAGAAAATCATGATCAGATTTGAGAAGTGTTCTACAATAACAATGTCACTAAATTTACTAACTTCTGTGAAGAAAAAAATGCTTTTGGGATTGCATTATTGCATTAACATGTTTAATAAATTTACTTAATTTGACATATCTGAGTAATTATCTCTCTCTGTGTGTGTGTGACTGTTGCATTTTCCATGAATTTTGATTTATTTTGGGGAGTATTGTGGTGTTGTGTGAAGAAGTGAGCCGAATATTGAGCATAGCTGCATTAATTACCACTAACCACAATATCCTACCACTGTCTCACGTATTTACATACAGGTGCATCTCAATAAATTAGAATGTCGTGGAAAAGTTCATTTATTTCAAAATTCAACTCAAATTGTGAAACTCGTGTATTAAATAAATTCAATGCACACAATCACCTCCATGCCACGCCGCATTGATGCAGTAATTCATGCAAAAGGAGCCCCTACCAAGTATTGAGTACATGTACAGTAAATGAACATACTTTCCAGAAGGCCAACAATTCACTAAAAATGTTTTTTTTATTGGTCTTATGGAGTATTCTAATTTGTTGAGATAGTGAGTTGGTGGGTTTTTGTTAAATGTGAGCCAAAATCATCACAATTAATAGAACCAAAGACTTAAACTACTTCAGTCTGTGTGCTTTGAACTTATTTAATACACGAGTTTCACAATTTGAGTTGAATTACTGAAATGAATGAACTTTTCCACGACATTCTAATTTATTGAGATGCACCTGTATGTATTACTGCAAAGTCCAAATAAAATGCCGAACTCGGCTGCACTTTTTAATGCCAAGATATTATAACACAATGTGATTGCTATTATATCTTTACGTTTTCTGTATTTCTCTTGCAGTATGAGGAAAATGTTTGTATAGTGTTTTGGTGTTTCGGTGTTTAAATGGACATGCAAATGTGACTTTTCTGTTGTAACATTGATACAAAAATAAAAGTACTGTATCAATGCAATTGTGCATATTATTTTTACGTGTACTAAAGACTTCTCTCTGTGTATTGACTTATCTCAGTTAACTTTTACCTGATGTTGAAATCTGTCTCTAAAAAGTGTGATACACAACAGCATTCAGCTAGACAAAACTGTCATTCTTGTATAGTAGTAAAACAGCTGTGTCAACAAAAAAGCAGAACCAAAATTAATTTTCTATATAACTAACATTTCCATGGTTTAGTGCCTTGGTGAAAAACATCTAATTATTTTGACCAGTGAGTGTCACACAATGACAAAAACTTTTCATTTTGAAAACCAATAACCAGCTTTTCATTTTGAAAACCAATAACCAGAATCAGAATTAACTTTATTCGCCAAGTGTGTGCAAACACACAAGGAATTTGTTGTGGTTTTTTAGGAGCTCTTGGTACATACATACATGCATACAATAACTAGGTTTTGAAGCGTGAAATAAGTGGGTGGGTTACTAAAATTTGCAGACTTGCAGTAGCCTAGTTGTGATGTCCTATAAAACAGTGGTTCCCAACCCAGGTCCTGGAGGCACCCCAACACTGCATGTTTTGCATGTCTCCTTAATCAAACACACCTGATTCAGATCATCGGCTCATTAGTAGAGACTCCAAGACCTGAAATTGGTGTGTCAGAGAAAGGAGACATGCAAAATGTGCAGTGTTGGGGTGCCTCCAGGACCAGGGTTGGGAACCACTGATCGAATTCATAAAAATAGTCTGAGTGATTCATTCACAAATTGGCCTGATTTGGTTCAATTCACTGCCTCAATGATCCTGTTACAGTGGTTAGCAGCTCACTTCAGATTAAGAAGACAAATTAACTTTCTATGGGTATATATGGTGTCCACCGTCATCCTGGCATTCCTCATATGCTGTTTATAAAACATCACAGGTGGGAGCACATGGCTGCCATGTGCATGTGTGTGTAGTGTAAAAGAGGACAACATGTTTTCAGTAGGATGGTCCACCTCTGTATGTGACAAACAGGATGGATGAGTCAGAGCTCCGGCCGGACAGGGCATCACAGTATGGTAAGGGAAATAACATTTCCGTCTCACGCTTGAGGTATTCGGCCAATCACAACGCACTGGATAGCTGGCCAATCAGAGCACACCTCGCTTTTCAGACCGATGAGCTTTGTAAAAATCGAAGCGTTTCAGAAAGGCGGGGCATAGAGGAGAAACAATAATGTACAGTATGTGGAAAATAATGTTTTTTTAACCTTAAACTGCATAAACACATTTCATTACACCAAATACACAAAGCAATGTTCTTTTTAGCAACATCATATGACCCCTTTAAGATAAAGCTTCAGTTCACCAGATTTAATGTTAGTGAAATAATAAGCAATATATGAACGATAAATGAAACCGAAAATGCATCATAACCTTGTATCACAGTTGTCATCCACATTTTGATCGTATTATCAAGGAAATGACAGAACTAACCTTTGGCATATACTGTTGCTTTCTGCTTTTAAATCATGTTCACTTGAACTGATTTTAACTATTTAGTATGTTTATTTTAGTTCGGATGGAAGTGAAAGAGCAAAGACAAGAACTAAACGAGGAGGAGGAACATCGTAACTTCAAAACCCGAAGAAAATCCAAAAAGCGGCACATTTGCTCACAGTGTGGAAAGAGTTTCAGACTTAAATTAGGTCTCAGTAATCATCTGTGGCGCCACTCTGGAGAAAAGCCATTTAACTGTGATCAATGTGGTAAAAAGTATACTTCGTTATCAAATCTAAATCTTCACCTGAAAGTTCATTCAGATGAGAAGCCTTACGTGTGTTCTGTCTGTGGAAAGAGTTTCTCTCGGCTGGACTGTTGTAAACAGCATCAGAAAACACATGATGAAGTGAGAGATCATGTGTGTTGTGAGTGTGGGAAGAGCTTTACTACAGCCGGCCAGTTGAAACAGCATCAAATAATTCACACTGGAGAAAGACCTTACAAGTGCTCCTATTGTGACAAGAGTTTCACTCAGCCTGGAAACCTGAAATCTCACGAGCGTGTTCATACTGGAGAGAAGCCGTACCAATGTACTCAGTGTGGAGAGCGTTTCAAATATTCAACTATTCTCAATGATCACATGCGCGTTCACTCTGGAGAAAAGCCATTTAACTGTGATCAGTGTGGTAAAGAGTTTAATTCATCATCAAATCTAAAAAAACACCTGAAAGTCCATACAAATGAGAGGCCTTATGTGTGTCCTTACTGTGGGAAGAGTTTTTCAGTGTTGGTCAGTTGTAATCTGCACCAGAAGATCCACACTGGTGAGAAAGATCACTTGTGTTGTGAGTGTGGGAAGGGCTTTACTACACTTGGCCAACTGAAATGCCACCAAAAAATTCATACTGGAGAAAAACCGTACAAGTGCTCATATTGCGACAAGAGTTTCACTCTGTCTTCACAACAGAAATCACATGAACGAATTCATACCGGAGAGAAGCCGTACAGCTGTACTCAGTGTGGAGAGAGTTTTAGACATTCAAACTCTTTAGTGAATCATATGAAAAAGCATTTTCCATCAAGTCCATCCAGTTAGTTCGGAAGTCGTGGCCTAATGGTTAGAGAGTTGGACTCGTAACCCAAAGGTTGCGGGTTCGAGTCTCGTACCGGCAGGGATTGTAGGTGGGGGGAGTGAATGTAAAGCGCTCTCTCCCACCTTCAATACCACGACTGAGGTGTCCTTGAGCAAGGCACCGAACCCCCAACTGCTCCCCGGGCGCCGCAGCAAAAATGGCTGCCCACTGCTCCGGGTGTGTGTTCACGGTGTGTGTGTGCACTTTGGATGGGTTAAATGCAGAGCACTAATTCCGAGTATGGGTCACCATACACATGTAACGTCACTTCACTCACTTAGTTAGTTGTCAGGTGCTTTGTAGACATGTCGAATATTTATACATTCAAATCTTCAAAGTAATTTCATTGTCTCTGCATACAATTAAAATTGAGAATGGCGCAAAACAACATAAAGAAAAACAAAACACTGCACCTGGCAAAGAAATAGGTGGCATTGAAGAATACAAATTTATATAGAAAAGTCAATAAAATATGAGTGTTGTGGCCACATATAAGCATTTTACCTATATAAGCATTATTCTGTGGCACTGTGAGATCCTGTGTTTTAATTAAATAATGTGAGATTCAGATAAAGTAAATGTGTTAGTTACAATAAACTTGAATTGCTGTAAAATCTGAACAACTGAAACTTTATATTACGAGCACTTGTGTTTAGATGCCTCTTTATGATGAATCGCTTGTTGTGTTCCTCATTTGTAAGTCGCTTTGGATAAAAGCGTCTGCTAAATGAATAAATGTAAATGTAAAATATCACACGAATTGTGGAGATTTTTGTTCTGTTATGTTGGGGGACAATAAAAGTTTTGAATCACTTGAATCTTACATTTATGTATTTTTATTATTTGACTGAAAGCCCCCTCATTAAGGCATGGACTAAATAAATTACCCAAATTAAAAGAGACTGGACACATATATATATATATATATATATATAAAACAACAATCAGCCATTTGTCAGTATGAAACGATTTCCTCAAGTTGAGTTTTTAACTTTTTAAAAACTTAAGTTTATACAGATTTCTCTGCAACATGGAAGTTGTCTATAGGCTCTGTATAATGGCAAAAATATAATTAATATTGCACTGACAACCTCTGATTATGTGTGATATTAAAGGAGTAGATCACTTCCAGAATGAAAATTCAGTCATCATTTACTCACCCTCTACTTGTCCCAAACCTGTATGCGTTTCTTTCTTCTGTTGAACACAAAAGAAGATATTTTGAAAAATGTTGGTATCCGAACAGTTGATGGGCGCCATTGACTTCCATAGAAGGAGAAAAAATATATACTTTGGAAGTCAATGGTGCCCATCAACTGTTCGAATACCAACATTTTTCAAAATATCTTCTTTTGTGTTCAACAGAAGAAAGAAACGCATACAGGTTTGGGACAAGTGGAGGGTGAGTAAATGATGACTGAATTTTCATTCCGGAAGTGAACTACTCCTTTATGTTGTAATGTAAAAGTAATACTGTAGCAATATAATGTTAAATGTTTGTGAATCACATGACTATACTAACAAAAAATCTAAATCCCTGAAATTTCGGCCCAGTTTTGTTACGCTACTCCTTTATGTTGTAATGTAAAAGTAATACTGTAGCAATATTATGTTAAATGTTTGTGAATCACATGACTATACTAACAAAAAATCTAAATCCCTGAAATTTCGGCCCAGTTTTGTTACTTATGTTCATTTTTAATGCCAATCCATCACTAATAACACGAAACAAGCGCTACATATTAATAAAAGAACACACGTTTTACAGAACCTTCACATTTAATGGTATCTAATTATTTATAGATTACATTTAAAGCAGCACTATGTAACTTTTTCTGTGTTCAAAATTTGCAAAATGTATATAATGAGCGAGTACATCATGAATTCATCTTCCAAACCGCGTTTTTGTCTTATTTCGAATCACTGCGTTACACTTATAATAAGTACTTATATTTGGACTATTGTAGCTTGGTCGGGTCGTCGCCGCTGCGGAGTAACACATACCTGCGTGAATCGCCATAGACATAAACTTAGAGAAGTAGCTCAGGTTGGTTCTTCCGCGGGATGTGTGCAGTTCTGTTTATTAACCGCTAAAGCGCCAAAAGTTACATAGTGCTGCTTTAATCGATTAGAGCTGAGTTTTTGTTGCATTTACATCATTTTGGCCAGCAGGTGCCGCCAGTCTGGTGTGTTTCGAGGGCTTTGAATCATGTTGCGTGTGAATGAATCATTCGGTTCAAATGATTCAGAGATTCGAAGAGCTTCACTACAGGACTCACTCTCGTCACCGCCCTCCCGTCGACGTGGCCAATCAGCTCGCGCTGGCCTCGTGTGACGTCACGCGCCAGCTAGTTCTCGGAACAAAAGCCGTCTGCGCGCTCCGCTCCTCCCCGCCGGATACGACCGAGAAAACGCGGACGCGTTCGTTTTTAGCGTCAAAGTTTGTTTTATAGGAATTTGCGGCGTGACATACGCTCGCATACAGTGTAAAAGTGTAAATCCCGGCGAGTGTTTTTGTCCGCGCTGAAGCTCCGAGGGATTCTCGCGAGAGTAAGTAGATCAGCAGCGCATGGCTGGTTTGTTTGTGTTTGTGCTTCACATTGTTTCAAAGCAGCTGAAACCGCAGGACCGCATTGGGTCGTGTTGCGATTGTGCATTCTGGTTCTGGACCATGTTATACACGAATTATGCTGAAAATATTCAGGCACAACATATTTGGCCTCATGCACCTTTAAAACTCATTGTTTCGCTCGCACAGATATATTTGTGTTCACTAAACATTTAGTTCAATGGTTATTCTGGGGGGAAACGTTGCCTGTCAGGCAGTGTACATGAAATAGTATGTTTTGAAAATAGGATTGTGTGTCATCTTCAGTGTTTACGTACAAAGGTCACAGTGGAAAGAGGTTCGGATATAATCTAATCACGTTGTTTTCCTCCCCTTACCCTTTATCTGCCACAGATTCTGAATGTTGTGAAATGCATGAACTAATCAGAGGTGAACAGTGAGGGGGAGACTCTATTAAACGCTTTTTATTTCATCTTTTGTGTATGTCACCGGTGATTCAGACACTGAAGGATGTTATTTCCTAGTTTGGGCCGATGTCACTTCTGCAAAGTTCTTTCCATTCCCTTTGTCTCGTGTGTTTTTGTTCTTCTGTCGTCTTTAAAATCGTGCCCACTTCCTGTTACCTATGGAATTTGCATATGTTAGTTATTCATTATGGATACCTTTCTCAACCCTTATGCAAACAAGTTCTGAGATGTGTGCACATGTGTCTGTTTGAGTTTAAACAAAGGGTTCTGTCCATTTAATGATCAAAAAATAAGTTTATCAAATAAAGATTTGGCATGTGTCAATCAAAATTAACATCACACTTTTAAAGGAATAATACAATGTATATTCTGTAATCTTGTACTCATCCTCACTTTACAATAAACCTCTTCTATGCTCCACACAAGGAGACGTTTTGAAACCCGTTCACAGTCTTTTCATATAGAATTCTTGATCTGACTTTGAATTTAGTCTTAAAGGGTTAGTTCACCCAAAAATGAAAATTAGGCTGTGTTTTACTCACCCCCAAGGCATTCTAGGTGTATATGACTTTCTTCTTTCAGACGAATCCAGTCTGAGTTATATTAAAAATTGTCTTTGATCTTTCAAGCTGTTTAATGCCACTCAGCGGGTGTTGCATTGCTTCAGTCCAAAAGAACTTAAATAAAAATCGCCCATCCATAAAAAAAAGTGTCTCACACGGCTCCGGGGGGCGAACAAAGGCCTTCTGTAGCGAATCGATGTGTTTTTGTAAGAAAAATATCCATATTCAAAATGTAATAATCACTTTTATGTAGCTTGCGCTCACTGTTGTAAACGGAAGCAGTTCCAGGGGAATGACGTATGAGGTCAGCACTGCGCATGCGCCGCTCAGAAGTGTCTATATATTTTTTTTTTTTTTTTATTCAAACGTTTGGTCACCTAGGCCTGTGTTATTGTCTTATGTTTTACTGTTTTCAGATAGATGCAATAATGTGAGTGTTGAAATACAGCAACTTTCACTCTTCATAGTAAAAAAAGCAGCTGCTTTTACCTGCTGCTGGTAAAGTTTTGACTGTCTACTCAACTGAATCGCCTCATCAAGAGGCCACTTTTCATTTTCTTAGCTTCTGTTTTCTGCTGTCTGTCAGCTGAGGTCAAGCTCAAATCACTTTTTTTGAGCATGCTCAGAACGAGAGAGTGAAGCAGGAAGTCTCCGTAGCTACGGTTTCCTCTTCCTCTTTCTTTCATCTCGTTCTATTTTCAACTTTTTTATGGGTCATGCAAAGACATGGTCTCTGCACCGGGGTCAAACAGAGGACGAGGTCATCACGGAAACACAAAACAACATCTCGACTAATGCTTCAGGAGTCTTCATTGGCCTGATTTTGAACCTCTGTCTGACCTTTGAACTTTATTGCGACTGGTTGTGAAAGTCACGCTGGTGGAGTCACTGACCACATGTAGTGCTCTTGTACATGAAGTTTTAACACCTAAAAAAGTTATTAGTACTGACAATTTTGCCAAATCAATGCTATGGGAAAAAAAAAAAGGTGGCACGATTTGGGGAAAAATGTATTTGTGAATTGTCTATTTATTTATTTTATTTATTTATTTATAAAAATTGCAAATTTAAAGTATGATTGTAAAACAAATTATAGGTTTTCTGTGCAATTTGGTCCAAATTTTGTGATAATATATCAATGGCTATTATTAATAATAATAATATTGTTATTATTATTATTATTAGTATTATTAAATGTTGTTAATTATAATAATAATAATAAAGTATTATTATTATTAAACAAAACAATAAGAAATATTACTATTGTAATGTTACTGTAAAATAAAAATAAAAAACAAGTATACAACAATACAACTTTCTACATTAAGACATTTTTTTTAAATGTATTAATGACTCATAATGACTTTTTATCGTAAATGACTGCTTTTAAGTGCTGAAAGAGTTTATTGTATTCCATTGCATTTTAAGCTATCTTGTTTGTGGTACTGACATAAATTAGAGAAAAAACATTTATTATTATTTATGGAATAAATACTTGGCACTGAGGAAGGGGTAATACCCGAAAACGTTCTGCACCTTTGCACTTTTGTACTTTTTTTGTACATATTTTTGTGACCTCTGAGCAATAAATGTTACAAGCCTTTTTGGCTGAATTTGAACGAGTGTGGATCTTTCATCCTCATATTTTGGAATAAATAATAATAAGTGCATTTATCTGATTTATTGAGTTGAATTTTTAATTTATTTATTTAATAAATACTTGGCACTGAGGAAGGGGTAATACCCGAAAACGTTCTGCACCTTTGCACTTTTGTACTTTTTTTGTACATATTTTTGTGACCTCTGAGCAATAAATGTTACAAGCCTTTTTGGCTGAATTTGAACGAGTGTGGATCTTGCATCCTCATATTTTGGAATATTTTGGAATAAATAATAATAAGTGCATTTATCTGATTTATTGAGTTGAATTTTTAATTTATTTATTTCAAGTTGGGATGGGATTGGCCATTACCAAGGCTGTACTCAAATCTGGGTCAGTGATCTATAAGCTCTTTTGTGTCACAGATGCGTTTTTGATACGTTTTTAATGTAGGACTCTACAAACATGAATAATGCAGGTGACAGATGGAGGGTGTCCTATAGTCAGGCTTGACCAGCTGCTGGTGTGTCCACTAGGACGTGCACGACTGCTCACTCTAGTTGACTAGCCAGTGGGTCAATGTTTACTTTATAAAAGTGACTCACAAACGCTGTTTTGGGGGAATGTTGGGTACATACCTTATTATTTTTTTCTGCCTGAGAGAAAGTTTATGTATGTGTGTGTGCTGACCGATGAGATTCTCACTTCCTGGTTCTGGTTGGGCACAGGTAGCATTTCTCCTAACAGAACTCTTCTTTGTCTCTGTGCAGGAGTTTGAGGCCTGATAAAAGTCGTCCGGCTGACGTGGATCCTCCTTTCAGTCCTGCAGTGATCCGGAAGGTGAGTGTGTGCTCAGTTATTCACACTTACTCCACAGTTTATTCCAGTGAATCACCATCGTCATGAGGGACTAGAGAGAGCGCAGCGGAAAGCCAGGCATGTGTTTGGTGCTCGGTGAGGGAGGAGAATTGCTCTGGAATTGCTCCACTCTGAACTGCTTTACCCCTTTTCATTTCTTTCATTTTCTCCCTTTTCTCCTGCTCTATGCTGACACAGAAGCAGCAAGGCATGGAGGGTAAGCTCAGACTTTGTTCTTGTGTGTCTTGTGTTGATTGTGTGGACAAAATCTCGCTAAAATCTCACATTCTTCTTTTTTCTTTCATTACTATATAGGCTCATAGTTGGTGATCTAAACAAACCACTAGAATTTAGTATTGAACTTTAGTGTGTAACACATGCCGCAATATTTGTGTTTCAGACATGAATGATTCCTCAAATAATGTGTCTGGTTGAGGAGAGGTGTGCTGTTACTTTTCAAAGTGATTTTTGCTGTGCTTGTTTTTAGGGCTGGCCAAAGATTTTTGTAATTTATATACCAACATGATTATATAATAGTAATAATAATAATGTGTTGTTGTTGTTTATTATTATTATTATTAGTAGTAGTAGTAGTAGTAGTGCATTTATTAGTTATTTATTACATTATTAAAATATCAATATCACATTCACAACAACAATATTAATAATAATTTTATTATAACTAAAATAAGACAATAATTATAAAATAAAATAATAATTAGTAGAAGTAGTAGTAGTAATATAGTAAAAATATTAAATAAAGATATTATTTTTAAAAAAGTAAAAAAAAAAAAAAAAAAGAAAGATTTTTTTTTTATATATATTTTTACAACTGTAAAATTGCAATACTGATATTTATGGCTGTCCTAATTTCTTAAAATTTAAATGTTTTAGTCCCCATCACATCAAAATTGACAATTTAAACACTGCAATATAATAAATGTTTTATTTAGTTTTTTAATTCATGTGCCTTCATAATCTTTAAGTAAAACATTAGCCTAACTTCCCATCCCCTTGCAATGACATCTCATCTTTTCTCTACACTAGCACTTAGTTTATAAACTTGCATGTTTAGTTGCTGCATTCTCACATTTTGGGTGAGATTTAACTTTGAATTGTCATAGAAATATATATTTTTTCTCATCACCTCCTTTTCTTTATTTTATCTTGCTGTCTTGGTTTGTTATGGTGTGAGTGTGTTTGTTTGGTTTAGACCAGTCGAGTTCATTTCCTGAGAAGGGTTTGGCTCCTGGGGTCTCCGTTCAGTAACTGAACTAGCTGGAATAAGTGAAGGATGTGACAAATGTGACTCCTTTTCTGGAGAAAATAAATTACTGGACTAGGTTTTGGACAGTGCAAGTTTACTTTTTGACTCGTGGGCACGTGGCTGTTTTGACTGCAAGTTTGTGTGTCGTTGTTTCTTTCTTTGGAGCTCCGGAGGAAATATTCACTTCCCTTCCACATGCTCTTGTGAAACCGCTGTCTTTCAGGTTCAGAAGAGATTCTGTCATTCTTCTGGTAGAGTGTGAGTGAAAGCTGCTCCTTCAGATGTGTGAAAACTAATCTTAGTCTAGAGAATTGTCTCTTTAGTGAAACGCGCCCACTGCTTTTCTTTACATATTCTATACTGTTTCTTTTGCCTTTTCCTGTTTTAAACCTGCAGCCATACTGGGTAGAACTAAAAAAATTTAACTAAAAATATTTAGCTAAAAATTAGTTTTTATAATATATATATATATATATTTTTTTT